GTATTACTGAGCTCAACTGGCCTGCCAACTCTCCTGATCTGAACCCAGAGAGAATCTGTGGGATATTATGAAGAGGAAGTTGAGAGACACAAGTCCCAACACTCTGGATGAGCTTAAGACAAGTCCCAACACTCTGGATGAGCTTAAGACCACTATCGAAGCATCCTGGGCCTCCATAACACCTCAGCAGTGCCACAGGCTGATTGCCTCCATGCCACGCCGGTCATTTCTGCAAAAGGATTCCCCACCAAGTATTGAGTGCATAACTGAACATAATTATTTGAAGGTTGACTTTTTTTGTAATAAAAACACTTCTTTTATTGGTCGGATAAAATACGCTAATTTTTTTGAGATAGGGATTTTTGATTTTCTTCACTTTTTTGCCAAAATCCTCAATATTAAAACAATAAAAGGCTTGAACTRCTTCAGTTGGTGTGCAATGAATCTAAAATATATGAAAGTTTACTGTTTATCAGTACATTAAAGAAAATAATGAACTTTATCGCAATATGCTAATTTTTTTGAGAAGGACCTGTGTATGAACCCAAATACAGCCATGGATAAGAATTAAGAGAGCAACATGGTAATATGTGACTCATGTTGTCTGTTGAAAAATGTTCATGGGTTGACCGAGTTATTTTAGTGCTTTAGAATTAGCTTTTGCTAAAACTTTAAGTGTGTTAGTGCTTTAGAATTAGGGGACCTAAATATTTGAGTTAGTGTTAGAGCAAGAGGAACTAATTTTTAGATTAGTGCTGCCCACCACTACTCACAAGTATAAAACTCAAAACCATTAACCTCTGTTGTTCCATCAAAGTGTAGTACTCGTGTGATTGGCTTTTATTTTGAAAGGTTAGTTCAGTCAAAGAAAAATAAAGATAAATAAATCCTAAAGTGAGTCTTCTAGAAGCGTTCGGAGCGAGCGAGGGGAGAACACGAAACCCCCCAATTATTGTTCAACACGACAGAAATTTCAGCACATAGTGAACCGTGTTTAATTATTACAAAAAAAAAAAATCTTCACATGTCTGCGTTGTCTCACCTTAATGTGGTTTTTAACAGCATTGGTCCTCTGAAGCCTCTGGTCCTCCGGGATCCCGATCTCCTCCCAAATGTCCTTCAGGTAGCACAGCGCTTTATTCAGGCATGAGATCGCCTCCGCCGCCAGTACCTCGCTACAAAGTTCAAACATCCAGTAGAAACGAAGATCAGTTTGTTTTCTTTTCGAACGCTTTAAAAGACATGGTAAAATAAAGTCGTTGATACCAGCATTATCAAATTTTCACAGACTAGTAGTGGTATCGTTTCAGATGACCGATCTCGACGTCAGATAAGCTAGCAGTTACATTTCTTAACGCTAAATATTACTCACTTAATCTTACTTTTTGGCTCCATAATCCGGTCTCTATTGTAAATGAAAAAGCTCTAATTTTACCTTTTTCTCATTGTTCTACTCCAGAGCAGTGACAAGTTTCGGCTCGCACAATGAACAGACCTTCTTCTCTGCCTGATGACTTCAGACCGTTTGTGCTGCTGTTCAAAATACGCGTTTGAGAGCATCCTGCTTTCTGATTGGCTCCGTCAGCGAGTGCGCGTAATGTCTCTACCGCCGTGCCCCGCTGACAGCTTTTCCCATTCACCATGAAAGAATAGCGGGCCGCCCGTACGTAAAGCCGTAAGCTTTGCATGCAAGAAAAACAAACACACCCGTTTGATTTAGGGGTGTGGTCATTGAAAGCCTCATCTAAAGCCTCTTTATTTGCTGTGGGGTGTGTGTGCTGTGTTGTCTGGATAATTTTTAGACTGATTAAGYCGTGTCGATTTAAAATGGTAAATAAAATGACCAAGAAAAACACACACAGCTGCTTAAAAACACATTTATTCACTTTTTACATTTTTGTTTGTCGGACAAATAATAAAAGCGTACATTCTATGTTGTGGGGAATGTGACATGTTGTATTCATTGTAGTATTACTGACAGATTTCACACAGGTGGGTCCAGCAGAGCTTCCATGAGTCTGGAACTATTTGTAATTGCAGTTGTTACCACAATAAACTTATAACCTGAAAAAAAGATAATAAAAATATAAGACAATCTGACTTTAATATCATCTTATGAGTTTTAATGGAACATTGTAATTTCATTGAAGTGCAGATGAAGCCCTGCGGCTTTCCTAATAGTGCTGAAAAATAAGAAGTTTCAAGACTTTGTCTGACCGTGGAGGCATATGTTACATATATTTGATCACAGAGTTAAATATTGTTGTTTTTATTGTTATTTCCATGTCTGACCATAAAAACAGGGACACCTGGTGGCCAACTGAAGCCCTGACACAGTTTTGTCCTCATGTCTGCAGTAAAAGTTCAGAAAAGTGCGATCGTTTTATTCTACTGATACATTTTGTTGGTAAATAGTAATTTTAATATGTGTTGATGTGTAATCATTAATAAGTTATATATTTGTTGTTAAAAACATTAGGTACTGCACCAGAAGTGAAGCATTGTTATGCAGGTTCACTTCGACCACTGCTTAATGGACCATCTGGTTTTTTTTTTTTTTTAATTTATGGTCAGGAAATTGGAGCCGAAACTAAAACTCCAACCAAAACAACACACCCTAGAAATAAAACCTTACACTACATTTACCTCTCTCTCTGCCAAGGAACCGCAGGGCTGAGATCTCAGAGAAGGTGCATCCGCCGAGGAACATGACCAGAATGATGCGCCGAGCATCGTTCTGCTTTGAATCAGCTCCACTGCTGCCTGATATCATGAAGAAAACATTTAGTGCTCATCAATTCAAAACAGATTATTCTAGGATGTGTTTGCACATGTCAACAGTAGCCATGTTTCCATCCTAGTGCAATGCAAATTTTGTGCAAACTTTTAAAGGGATCTATGATTAGTTGTAACATTAGACTTTATTTGATAAACATATATTTTAACTGTAAAATAAAGACTGTAAAAATACTGTAGGCTGTTTGGTTTTGTAAATTTTTAAAAATATTTTTTAAGACAGATGAGCCATTTTATTTACATGCAAAGCATTCTGGGTAAATGATGACATCAACTAGGTCACTGGTGTGAGGCTGCTAGTGAGCTATATCCACCC